ACATGGCAATATAATTGATCTTTCTACAATCATCAATATAATTATACATATAAAATGCATTTTTAAAATCTGGAAAAATTACAGTACATAGAAATATTATCCAAAAAAATTGAATACCTACTGCTTTTTCTGCGTCACAAGCAAAGTAACTAAAAGAGATTATACATACAGCGCAGACTGACTCTCTGTCTGCCTGCAAATCATCTCACATGCCTTACTTTGATCTGAACAAAATCTTGCAATCATTTCTGCTTAGCATCGTAAATCCATTGAGATCCATTCATGCATTATTCATCCCATAACATAACTCTTGTATGCATTATCTGGAAGCAATGTGTACAGAACTTGTTCAGGTGAAATCAGGTTGAAAATTCATAGAGTAGTTATACTCTGCCCCAGTTACAAGGAGACATGCATGCATGGAGCTATTAATATTGTTGAGCTTGCTTATATGTCATATTATTAAAGTGAACTTTCTTTTTTCCTTTAACATATGAATTAAGTACTAGGCTTAACGTCGGTTGCCATTGGTAACCGTCTACTCTTTTTTCTGCATCAAGAAAAATAGCTATCGAAATCAAATATACTTTTTCTACCTTTATTGCACCTTCCACTCAAAAAGAGGCAATTTTATTAGTCTTGTGTATCGATCATTTTTTGAAACGCGCAAACATCACAATGATATGATTATTATCCAAACATGAATTACTCTCCCTTGACTTGATTTTTTGAAAGTCTTCGCAATTGTGTTTTAAGTAACAAGAAAAAATGTATAGGTTGTACAGACATTCCGTGGCTACATTGCCGGTAAAATCATCATCATCATCAGCATCATCATTATGATCATCACCACTATCATCATCACGATCATAAACCAACATCATCACCACTATCATTATCATCATCATCACCATCATCATCTTTACTACCATCATCTAGATTCCAACTGCTCTATTACAAGGAAGATACAAGCTCCAAGGACAAAAGATAAATGAAAGGGTGAACCTACCACCTTCTCTTATTCTGTCATGCCACATCATATCATCTCCTCCTGTCTAGGAATTCCTCTGCGAGACTCCAATACCACGCTCGATGGAAGAAACAAAATAACAACTCAGAATTTGGCATCAACAACATATACCTTCCAGGTGAAAATGGGCAAAATAGATAATACGCTGAAATGCTCCAACCACCCTTGGAGAAACATCCATTGACTTTTAGGCTGGGGCATAAAGGCTTTTAGTCAGCTAACATACCCCCTCGAGGACCACTATCCTCCAACAACCTGATGGCCCGCAAGATGATGATGGTGGTGGTGATGATAAAATGCAAATTTCGCTCCGGCGTTAATCACCATGTATGCCCTGGTTAATTAGTGTGTACATAGACCCTCGAGACAGCCCTATAGCTAGATAGCTCACTGCTCTTTCGCAAGCGGCCCTACATCTTTAACCTTCAGGACATATTCACATTAGTCTCAAATGTCTCCATGTCCGATAGGACAGGTTTTAGTTGAACTGATGTGAGCGGATTCTCACAAGGATTAATTGAATGTATTTTCTGTTCGTTAACACAGTCACACTCTTCAAATTCAGGATGTCGTGAACTATGGGGCTGCTTTGCATGGTTTTGTACAATCATTAAAAAAAACAATTAAATGAAGATAATAATGATGATGATTATGATAATAACAATATTTGTACATTCTATAGTGCCCATATCCATCACACATGGTGATCAAGGCGCTTCAATATTAACTCGACTCTGCTACTGTGTTGGCCATGCATAGTCACGGACAAAAACTTTGATTTGCATGTTACTACACTTTATTCCAAATCTAAGAACAAAGGCAATTGAAACAATATCATCAACATTCTCCTCCAATGCAATTGATTTCTGATAGGATTCTATCCTCATCGAATATGAGATGAAATCATTGCACGTGAACGAAAGAAATCAGAATTAGTGTCACAGATGTTCTGTAATAAACATGCTACTGAAAAAGTTGTCATCTAAAACCACTACGTAAGAAACCAATCCGAGAAGAAGAAAAAATAGAGATGAAATAAACAATTTACATGGATTGCAAAGTGAGCTTGTTTTTGTGTTTTCACAGAGATAACTATCCAAACAACAAACATCAGTTTAAAGATTTTTAATAACAATCAAAATTGATGAAAAAAAGCAAATTCCAGGGACTGTAAAGTGATCTTGTTTTCATCTTTCAGAAAGATATACTATCCAAACAACAAACATCAGTTTAAAGACTTTCATTCTAGTTATCTTTCAAAGAATATTCGAGAAATACACTTCAGAAGCAGAAACAAAATATCAGAGTGAAATAGCCTCTAGAAATGATTCTTGAATTACGTCAAACAGGTTACACCCAACAGCCCCTAACCTAGCAAAGAACTGGAGGGCAAAACACGACAGGCAAACACTGCCGTTAAGGCATTAAAATGATGACGAAAGTATGAACAATAGCATCTGTTATTACTTGTACCTACGTCAAGATGAGATTTTCTCACAGACAATATATATATATGAATGATGAATATTCCACGGGAGGCTAGAGACATTGCCCAAGAGAATTATTTGTTTACAGAAACAACCTCAATTTCATTATGAATTCATTACAAATATCAAATTATCTGATGAAAGACATTTGTTTATAATGACAAGAATCTGTTCATCGTAAATTAATGAAGACCATAAAACAAGGTGCATGGAGATAAGTGCGATTGGCGTCATCTTATACATACCTCATAGTAAAGATTAACGTTGCACAAGCATTACACAAGGTTGGTCTATTCAAAATGTCATAAACAAAGTTGTCATAGTGTACGTCATATTGTTTTGTTCTAATACGTGTGGCCGACAGAAGAGCAGCACACGCACATTCATGTCATGAAGCAAATATCCAGTATCAACTCCTATGGCTTTGAGTGTCCTTAACATTAATATTTATAAAACACGTCATTGATTTATAAATCTCTTTATAGACTACCAAAGAACTAATGTCACAATCGCTCATCGTCCAGGTCACTGGTTCTAAACAACAGAGCCTGTGCATGAGGTTCACCGCAAAATAATTCAAGCAACGAGCCGCAGCAGGGTGAATTCAGTGTTAGGCACTGCATGATGTTATCACCAAGTCATTGTTTAGGACAGAATAGTTTGGAAACAGCAACCTTGACAACTTGGCCAGTATGACGTCACAATCTATTGTTCGATAACAAAGTGAAAATGGGTGATGACTATCTTTCCTTGAGTAGTTTTCTATCAAATAGGCACAGAGCTTTGAAGTTACAGGCATCTTATAAGGCTAACAACCTTTTTCTTCACACAATATAGTGTGTGTCTGCATTTAGCAGAAGGGCAGAACACGCTTACGAACTTCTGCCAACAAACCTTGATGGCTTCAAATTGGACAAAAAACGCTGTCTATGTTAGATGTGAAGTTCACATTGCAGGATCTGGGGGGCGTTTCACAAAACTTGTCATCAGTGACAAATGACGATTTGTGTTATAAGCTACTGAAATCCTTGCTTCTGATTGGTTATCGGCAGATTGGTCACTGAATTTTGTTATTTGTCATTGAAAAAACGCTATGTGAAACACCCCCATACTGACTGGGTATTTTAGAGTGATCCCGCACTTTGACAGTATATGACTTTCACTATGGCCTGAAGCCCTATTTGAGGTATTAATGATGTGATGTTTTCCCTTCTAATTCTTCTTTGTCCTCAGGTTGTTTTTCTTCTTTCCTTTTTGCACTTTCTCATTTTCTGTCGCTGTCTGTCTAGCTACCTGTGTCTCTCTCTCCCTCTCTCTCTCTCTCCCCCCTCTCTTCTCTCCCTTTCTCCTCCCGCTCTCTCTCTTTTTCTCTCTCTCTTTTTCTCCCCTCCCCTCTGTCCCTCCCTTTCTCTTACTCTAGGAACTTTCACCAATATAACATATATTTTCAAAATAGTTTAACATCTTAACAAGACGATTTTTGTACACGGGTCTGAAGTATAAAGCCAAGATATTGGAAGTAACAGTTCATTGGCATGTAAAATGTATTTTTAAAAAACAATTGAAACTCCGCCATTGATAGATGAAGATATACATGCACTGCTGTTTGATATATATATATATATATATATATATATATATATAGGAAAAATTGTTTCCGAAGAAAAGACCTTTGCAAATCTGTACAAAATCAGTAATTCTGCATTGCTCACCAAATTGGCAGTGACAACATTTGATGTCTGTACATGATGGACTTTGAATGACAAAAACCCTGGTTACTGCATTAGAATTAGAGTAGCATAATAGGAATTGGCACATAATCATGTCCTGACGAGCTTATACAATATTCATGAGCAAAGAATGCGAAGGACACCGGCAATCCTGAACGAACCACCCGCCATCCGATATCTCAAATGTTTTACCTTGGATAGCAGTTAACCATCCATGTGGGAAAAGATTATGTTGCCAATCCACACTTCACGATTTCATTAGGAATCCATGCATTTTCTCTTTACAGAGAAATGGAGTTCTATTATTTAGTAGTTTTCATGTCCCATGAAAAAGGATTGTGTCCTCATAGTTAAAAACAGGTCTATACAAAAGTTTCAACTTGGGATCAAATTCTGATGCTAAAACCTTTAGTGCAGTACCATGTGCCCATATCTGTGTCCAGTGCTGTGAATTGTTTGTGATTTCAAGCAAGATTTGGTCAATTTTTTGGCGTTCTTTCCAAATATCCAAACAAAACTGCCTTGGAAAGCATTCACAGAACATCAACGCATTTGATACATGTATCTCCTGATACAGTGAAACCTGTATACAAAAAGTGGTCCTTATAGGCAGGTGGTCTTTAGAAAATAGATTTTCTTTAAAACATGTTGCAATAAGAAATCAGTGTTTAAAGGGAAAGAAACAGAATATGGTCTTTATAGACAGGTGGTCACTAGTAGAACTAAATAATCATTTGTAAGACATGAACTTACCTTTCTTGATAAGATGATGCGCAAAGGAACAATTCTTTTGGATGATTCTGGAAGGCTGTTGTAGCGGAAGAGAGGGAGAGAGAGAGAGAGAAATAATTCATTAATTATAATATCAAAGGCGCAATACATCAAGATATGGTGAGAGATTTATAATGGGTATCAGATTTCAAATACACAGACTCATCAAAATATAAATGAAAATGCATGTCTTTCTTGACTTTATGCTACTACATGTTTTCTATCAACAGTGTCAATAATTTATTATTCTCTAGACATTATTTCAAGTGTTAATTCAGCCTAGATTTTGTTAGATTATATTAGAATTTTATATCTTTCTTATTATCAGAGTGCACCGTTTCAATTAAATGCTTGACTTTCGGCACCATAAAGAAAAATGAAATGGTACTTGAATGTGTAAACATGACTGAGAAATGTAACGGTACCTGAATGTGCGAACATGACTGAGAAATGTTACGGTACTTGAATGTGCGAACACGCCTCTCACATTTAAGCGATAACCAAAAACGCTAACAGCTTTCTAATTACCCATCCCTCTGACCCAAAGATGGCATGCAATAGAAAGAATACATTTGACTCAACAGTGAACCGTTAATGAACACTGGTTTACTTAGATGAAGCCGGGCGAGCTTTAATGAAATGGTTTCAATTGATTAATGAAAGAGGGACACTCCTCTCGCATGGCGGGGACCTGTGAAGTGCAAAGAGGAGTCATATCAGAGTTACGATCGACAGGGCTTTTATGCATTTGTCTGTACGAAATTGTGTGGGTGGGTTTAGAGAGAAAGGGATGGGATGGGGAAGAGTGAAACTTGAAGAAAAGCAGAAGGGAGAGGGGGGGGGGGGAGGGGGGGGGGGAGGGGTTCTCTGAAGGGAAACTTAATTGAAGGTAAATATTCATTTCGTGTCCTTTGGTTCCTTGTAAATCAATTTCCCCCTTTTCTGAGAATTTCAAGCAGCAGCTGGAGCCAGAGAATAACAAGCACTGGATTCTCAAGAAAGGCATGAAGTCCTGCAAATAATTATTTACACTATTTGAGATTTGATCATTTCTTCATTTGTGGCTTTAGTTTAAAAAGTATAGTACTGGCATTGGTTAAACAAGTTTACCTATGGCCTTTTACATTAGATATGAAGATGAAATTAGTTATTGATAGACCTAAAGATATTGTATTACTTGTAGGTCTATGCAAAGAATAAAAATGTGATTAAAACATCCAAGAATATAAAAGGAAAAAATCATATTGATGTTTACAGTACATAAATACATAAATAAATACTAGTTTATCGTTGGCCTTATCATGAACAAAGGAATCATGTCATATACATTACTGTACAGATTTATTGGTTTATAATAAAACAGCTATGATATAAAGCTAAAAATCAAATAGAATATTACTCAATACACTTTTTACACGAAGAAATTAAGGATAAAAAAAAGAAGCTCAGAAATTTCTGTTACCAAAGAGGTATAATGGTGATGATCGACCATTCCAATTAGCTTTGGACTTACCAACAAGCTTACTTTGATTCCCAGAATTTGTCTAATAATTCATGATGTTTACCAGCATCTACACCAAGATCTAATATTTAGGGCAATTCATTTTTCATATTTTTGAAAGATCAATCAACCTCCAAAACTCAGAAAAATTGCAATCTTCTCATTATGGTTGATCAACCTCTAATCTATAGAGGTTCTGGTCCAGGAATCGATTAAGGACAAATCACAATATCCTGATGGATCACTATTAAAAAGGAAAAACGGAGAGAACGACAAGTGGGGAATATTAAAAACTTAGCAGGAGAGGGTGAGAAGGTAGAAATATGGGGAGGGGAGAGAGAGAGATATGAAGGGAGAAAGAGGGGGAGAGGGAGAAAGAGAGGGAGAGGGAGAAAGAGGGGAGATGGAGGGAAGGAGGGAGGGAGAGGGGGAAAGAAGGGGAGAGAGGGAAAGAAGGGGAGAGAGGGAAAGAAGGGGAGAGATGGAGAGAGGGAGAGAGAGAAAAAGAGAGAGGGCGAGGGAGTTATATAGGGAGATATAGAGAGAAAGAGAGGGAGTAATATAGGGAGATATAGAGAGAAAGAGAGGGAGTTATATAGGGAGATATAGGGAGAAAGAGGGGGAAATGGAGGGAGGGAGGGAGGGGGAGGGAGGGAGGGAGAGAATGAGAGGGAGAGAGGAAGAGAGAGAGAGAGAGAGAGATAAGGAGGAGAAAGTGCGATCAATAAATAAACGAATAATGAGAAATCAAGAGAGACGCATGCAGGTAGCTGGACAGACAGCTAGTTAGCAACAGATAAAGAAAAAGTGCAAAAAGGCAAATAGGAAAGAGGAAAAACAACCTAAGGACAAAGAAGAATAAGCAGGAAAAAAAAACATCATTAACAATTAAATCTGTGCACACCCTGGAAAGCAAAGCGTGGCTTTCTACTCTGTAAATCTGGCCCTTCTTCCATCCCTTAAGAAATCATCATTATTCACGACCTCACACCCACATCAAACATTCGTCATCGAAGGACACTTGGGACCCTCGCAAATTGAAATACTAATAATGGTATGTACGCAACCAACGATCAACAGATCAATACTGATTACCTCATTGAACTCCTCTTTAATAGGTTTATTGGAAACAAAGAGATTTGTTCTTTCCTTCATGTAACTGTGTTAAAAGTCAAAACTAAGGGGGATAGGCTGGGATAGCATATAGAAGAAAGATTTTATGACACGTTATTATCAGTATTCTTATTACTATTGCGTTTGTATTAATTATCTCACTATATTGCAAACATGTTATACTTACTGATGTTTTGCCAGAGTTTGGATAACAAAAAACAAATTAAAAAAAGAAGGAAAAAAAAAAAAAAACCACACCATCCTAAACCCCTGAAATAATTGACAAAATGATGGTTCTCAGAATATACATTTTGGTGACAATCTCTGAGAACGATAGTATAGCAATTTACACCTCAAAGAGATTGATACAAAAAGGTTAATGGTCTTGGCAAATAATGCTGAAAATTATGCTACATGTATGCACACTTGAGCAGTACCACAGAAAATCTAGATCATAAGAGAATGGCAGGGGCTTTCAGAAAATCAACTTCAGTAATTATGATGGTGTTGTGCATCCCTTTATTTAATGCGCAAACATTTCAATGAAATACTACATAATACAAACAAGATTCCTATACGCAGAACAACAGGGTATTGAAATTGCCCTCGAGTTGGTTTATAGAAAGTCTGTGCGATCGTGTTATAAGTGGGTAAACAAAGCAAGAGCCACTATATATACTGCCAGTCGACTCCCACTTTAATAGTCCCTTTAAGCTTTCTGATTAACGTAGCCGTAATTGAGCTCGACACCCGACAACCGATCTTCCAATTCCGAAGCCGGGAGGTTAAACTGCAGGTGAGCGAAGCCCGACCAGCGAAACCCACACCGGGCAGTGCGTCACGCGATCGTGCCGTGACATCATTCCCGCTTACCAGAGAGAAATAGGATAACAGTTTATTTGGACCAGAGACCCAAAACAAGAGGATTGGTTATGGAGACCGCGGTGTGGTTTGATCTGATTTCATCTTCCTCCTCCCAGGAAAGCAAAGAGACAGGCGGTCATCTCAGGTGAAGTCTTTTTCCTCGGTGTTTCCAAATACGTAAATCAGCTCCAAGCCAATATGGGGAATGATCGTTAGGACATCCAGGTTAAATTCAACGAGAATGCAGGTTAAATGAAAATGGAGCGGATTGGGTTGAAATCCCTAAAGAATCGTTGTTTAGTTATAGGACGGTAGGCCTGTTTTCATCAGCGCGAGATTGCCAAATATCCTGCTAATCGCCAAAATATAACGCTATTTGTCCGGTGCGTCTTCACCAACCTAAAGACTCGCACTATATGCACCAATGCTGAGCAAAATATCTCGAGCTAATTTCTCGAGCTCGAGTTTCAAGTTTCGAGGTCAAGTCTGAATTGAGCTGATGAGGACGCGATTTGTAACTCCAGGATTATTTCCCAAATCAGAAATAGCGGGCTATTTGGCAATCTTGAGCTGATGAGGACAGGCCTAGTGTTTAATCTCTGGGAAGTAAAGAAAACAAACACTTCCAGTAAAAAATAAATAAATAAAGGACCTACAGCTTCAACCCTTATCAGAGGGACTAGCTACCAGTAGTTTGTAGACACAGCCTATCCTCTTCCAAACTATGTGTTTGGATATTGTATAATAAATCCATTTAGCACCTCTTAAAACATTTGCCCATCCACATGAATTCGGTAAAGCTAATAGACAGAAATTTTACTTTTGGAGAAAACAAAGGGCAAAATTTCAGGCGGCGTTCAAAAAACGCATTCCATAGGTGGGATTTTTCGATTCGGGCTTTTCGTCATGACTATGGGTAGTTGCCTAGCAACTCCAGAATAGGAGAAAACTAACGGTTTTTGCTTGCGGTGTAAACGCCTCTTATGTTAGATCTTCCTAGAACATTATTAACCGACCGACCTTCACCCAATTCTTTATATTTTTTATTTTTATTTAAAATGTCAAGAATGTTCAGGGTCATCAAGCTGATCGATGCCTTGATAAAATCACCAAGTTCATCAAATTCCAAGGATGAGCTGTCTTGATTGCGGAAAGACTTCATACTTCAACCCACTTAAACCTCATTTGCATACTTTCTCTCCCAAAACAAAAAAGCATTTTCTCACAGAATCCAACGGTGATGAGGAAAACCTGGACCCATATCAAAGAACGAGGTCGGTCTAGCCATCTATCATTGCGTTACTGATTAGCGTAACGCAATCAGCCGACGGGGATCCTGGAGGCTTAAGATGGCCACCGGGGGCTGCATTCCTATGCGTCAGAGGGGGATTTTCCTTGGGTATTGGGAGCCGTCAAGCGATACGTGTATTGTGCGCTGTTGGATTAACTGTGCAGTCCCTTGATAACCTGTACCTACTTTTCTTTGATGCAAATTACAACAACATGGGACTAGCATCATTGCAACCTCTGCATTAATGATAATCCAATTTTCTACATTA